TTACATTTTTTTTATAAAATATTACATAACACTATTGATGTAATCTATTTTTGATAAATTAAATAAATTTTAATGTTCCCCAAACAGCCATTAGATATCAAAACATTTTATACAGCAAGTATTTGAACGAACTTGGGAAGAAATTCACCTATAACGCTAATGAAATCAAATTTTAATTAATTTTGTTCTGATTGGGATATTTATTTCGACCATTAGTTGTACTAATTTGTAGCTAATGTATTTAGGATTCTTTCTTTTTTTTTTCTTGCTGTTGCTAAAATTATTTTCTGTCGAAATATTATGTTTAACATTTATTTCATGTATTTTGTTCTGTAAATGGATTAATTTGTTGGGCAATAAAATTATTTTTATTTTATTAAGCAAAAAAATGTTTATTTTGATGCACCTACCACCTTTAAAAGTTTGTCAGTATATTAACGAGAAATCCTATATAATTCCCAAAGAAAAATATTTTTGGAATAAATTCCGAATTCTATTTATTGATATTTGTTATTTTTTAGGTTCAATAACTCGAAACATGATCAGCTACACCAAGAATATCCTTGATACTTAAAAAAAATGGTACGAGATTAAGCAGATTTGATGCTATGTCACATTGTGGTGCGAAGACGTGGCTTGTATAAATTTGGGGTATTAGTTGATAGAAAACAGAACGAAAAAATAAATTTAAATCTGCAGATGCATCAGAGATAGTCATATTCCATACCACAATATGTCATGCGTGAACTCGATGAGATTTCAAAATTTTTGAACATGCCCCATTGTTGCCGATTACTTAAATAGCTTTCAAAAAGATCTAAAGCAGTGCCACGAATTCCATGGCGTTCAAGTATTTGTAGTAATTTTCCATGGTGTACCGTGTCGAACGCTCCTTCCTCCATGGTCGAACGCTTTCGCCAAGTCTAAAAATACTGAAATACATTTTTTCGTTTAATGTCCTCGTACATCTGATGTACTTATACAATTTATAATTTATTTACACTAAATACTAATTAATTAATTTATTTGAGCACTATTTATATTTCATACTTCTAATTTATTTAAGCACTATTTATATTTCATACTTCTAATTTATTTAATAATTTATCTTTATTAGACAATATTTATTTTAAAACTTAGGTTAGTTACAGCAAAAGAATTCAGTTAGGTATATACAAAAATGTAACAGCCTGTAAATGTTTACGATTATAAACTTAAATACATATTGTTCCACAAACATCTTTCTCGTAAACATTTTTTTATATACAGGGTATTTCAAAAAAGGTGGCCCCGTTGATAGAATAGGTAGGATATTGCAATATAAGTGTGATTTGCTGAGTAAAAAATTTTGTAACGGCATCCGTTTTTAAGATTGAAAAAATTATACACATTTTTACTTTCCTATCTGTATACAGATATAAGGAAAGTATAGGAATCATGATTTTTTTTCGACATCGAGTTTTCGACGGATTTTTACGTTTTGAGGTCCTCTGAATCCGTTTTGACTATTTTCGCGATGATGTCTGTGTGTGCACTCTTAATTTCATTTCTTAAGCGTTTGTAATACTTCCAATGACCCTGAACAGCGGTTCTCTTAAACCTTACATTAGCTCTCTAAGAGGTATCATTTTCTTAATAGTGTATGTGATCCAAGGAGCAGAAGGACGTGTAATTTTTACAGTCTTTTGTTGTGTGTGGTAGTCAAAAAGGACGAGTTGGATATTTTATCAATATTACGTAAATGAATAATTAGTTGCTTCTAGTTCAGCAGTAAAATAGGCAATGTTAAAAGATTTGAAATTTCTAAACGTGATAAGGGAAGGATCTTTTTTTGGAACTTTATTGGAAAATGTTAGAGATGACTTACAACAATCAGCTACAAAAGATGCATCAGTTACAGATACTTTACCCTTGATAGTTTCAGAGCATATTACCAAGTCCAAAGCAGTAGCACTTTTCGATCCATACCGTGTCAGTTCATGAATTAACAGAGATAAATCGTAGGACTGGAAGATAGTATCAAACCCTTTAGCAACAACTATCAGGCACCATTGCATCGATATTAAAGTATCCCAATAAGATTATTTGGTTAAATTTAGGTGCAAAGATACTGGCATTTCAAAGTTTTCGAGGAAGTTAGAAACTATGTGGGAATGTGGTCTATAAAAAATCCACAATGCATATTTCTTATCTAATACAAAGGAAACCCACAATTATTTAGTGTTACTTAAACTAAGCCCCCGAATTATGTTGGCTTTAATGTTATTTTTAATGTAGATTAGTAATCCACCTCCTCTACTTCCCCGATCTCTTCTAAATAGTCGATAACCATTTAGTTGTATAATATTGTCGGGAATATTATTTGAAAGCCAGGTTTCCATTACTCCAATATCATATTTGCAATAAACTAAATCTTTAAAAGCATTGAGACCTAACATTAATATTAACTACACTTATTCTCATTTTTATTTAGGACAAAAAACAGTTGAAAAATTACTAAAATATTAAAATACTATGCGCTGGTTCAGTGATGATGTATTTATGTTTCCACTGACAATTAAAATGACAGTAGATTTTTTGAGTGCGTTTTGTTTACCTAAATTATACCGTTTCTTTACTTTTATAAATATATTCCTAAAGTAAGTAGATAACATGCATCAAATATTAAATCGTTTAGTTACCAATTACATACCTTTAAACTATTTTTTATGACCTGTAAACAATATTTAGAAATAAACTAAAAATAGTAAAAACGTATACGTCAAATTTATTAATGTTTATGTTAAAAGTTTGGTTAGAATTAAATGTCAGTGGAATCAAAATGACATCACACTGAACTAGCGCATTGAACTACAAATAGCAGCAGCACATTAATATGAACAATTGCACAATATGGCTGATATTTTTTATGGATGCTCCTGGTAATAGGACCCCCTTTTCTCACAGACTTCTTAAGCGTTTCTGACACTGACGATCCTCTAGTGATAACTAAAGTATCCTTTTTTGTAACAACTTCCTTTATGGGTGGTTGGGCCTTGACTTCGTCAGTGTTGGAACAATTTGCTTCCAAGTTGTCAGTTACTACATCAATATCAGTTTTTTCTGGTAAATAATTTGCTGTAGGAGTTGGAGGTTCGCTTAGGACTTCTCGTTGTGGTTGAGATTGCAAAATATCTAATTCAGTTTCAATTTTTTGAAGGTCTTGACAAGTAAAAGTTTTGCCTTCAATTATCAATTGACTACCTACCTTTTAAAATAGTTCTTTTATTCCTTATAATATGGAACTAATACTTTTCTTTCCTCTAGAGTCTTCTCCGTGAAGTCTTCGGTAACAATTATGCCAGAACCTTTTAGTTTATTTCCATTACATAAGATTTCCTGTTTTATTAAAAATGAAGTCAAGGATGCTAAAGTTGGTCTATTCCGATTTCCCTTTTTTCCCAATCTGTATAGATTATTTATTTCAACAATATTGATATTAATGGAAAATTTATCGTTTAAAAGTTTTCGTACCGTTCTAATCAAGTCTTTGTTTGCAGATTCTTCTTCAGGAATTCCATAAAATAATAAATTATTTAGTTTGAATTTCTTTTCAATCAATTATTTTGTTCTCAATTGTCGTTTGCAGAGCTAAATTAGTTTTTTCAATTCTGTCTATTCTTGAACTAAGATTAGGAAAGACTGCTAAGCAAAGCGCTTACTGATGTCAATAAATATTTAAATAAAATGAATATGCGGCCACTGGCGGAATAAGACTATGTCAAGCTTCACTCTAAATCTAGCTAAACAACTACTCTCCCGGCATAGTTTCAGTACCTCTCAAACACAAAACATCGTTCTGCGTTGCAAAAGATGGCTTGAGTGCTTAACAAATTTTCGAAAGAAAAGTCTGTATATAGTGTAAAAAGTATGTAGTTTGTAAATAAACAATGTAATAAAATTAACAAAATCTCAATAGTGTTTAAGTATGTAATCCCTACGGATGGCACAGTTCACAATTTTCCAAGGTCCGCATGTCGTTCTTTTGTTTATTGGAGAAGCCTGTCTTTCGGTCAATTTGCAACAACTGCTTGCATTAGCTTGTGTGCCGCGTTTATTAAAGAACCGCCATTAGTCAGCGACTTATGGAGTTTCTCAAGTAAAGCAGATTTTGACATTTCAAAATTTAATACAAGGAGTGCTACGAATAATGGTATTTCTCTTTGGAATGTGCATCGAAGTGTTAGCAATAAGAATCTGCCATTTTTGGAATATGTCAAATTTGTGACTTATGGGCTTTCTCAAATGACCGATTCAATTTCTATATTGAGGGAAGTTATGAGTAAAATATTTTACCGATTTTTTCTCTACGCGGCAGTAGCTGGAAATAGCCTAAAACAAAGTTAGGTGAAAAGGCCAGATCTATGAAAATCTTTGCTTTTATCACTCAGATTTTTTGTTTTCGATGTAATACGTGTCAAGAAAAATCACGCCCAAATTTCTAAGCTTCAAATATCGGGTTTTATAGAAGATACATCCATGAAACATGGACAAAAAATACATTGTTGCCATGCATAGTTACCTTTATTTCAAAGAAAATTGTAGTTATGGCCATTTGAATTAACATGGCAGAATAGTGGATATGGTAACAGTAATAAACAAAAATCTTGATTATTCCTTTATTTGCCATTAATGAATGTATCTTACTTTTTAAAAGAATTATGACATAAAACACCAAGTCACTATATAAAAAACTGAACATACATTTCACATGCATGAAATCAATGAAAAATAATGTAATATAAATACAGTTACTTATTTGAATTAATAGAAAACTGCAACCAATTTAATTTGGTTATTCTATTTCAGTGTTATTTTTACTAAATTTAGATTTAAAAGAAATTCTTAATATATATTGTTGAATTACATAATTTTCAAACATCACTATTATTCTATGATATATCCATCATATACATAAATAACAAACATTAGTTTTTTTTAATAGTCTGCTTTAGACTATTTTAATATGGTGCATATCTTCTAGGAGGTGATGGTCCTCTTAAACCAGGCCTATAATAAAAAATAATATTAATAAAACAATTCAATTACCATTTTATTATAATTTTAAATTCTTATTTTTAGAATCTATACAAACATTTTTTTCCAAATAAAAATTAAATTAAAAATTGATTTCCACAATATATTCTTCAATGTTGGGGGGTCTAATTAATCGCGTTGTGGAACACTGCGTGATAGCAGGTGAAGTTTTTAATCACCAGTAAGACAAATGGCATCTTTTACTATCTGTAACTATTCCTGAAGAGCATTATAGCAAATAACATTTATTAATAGCCATCCAACCCCACAGAGGATGTAAAAACAATGGTTTCGGATCTTCAGATTCATTAGACTGGAGCTCGGCCTTTAAGTCTCACCCAACTCAACCATGGCCTTCATCAAAAGGTGCAGCTTGTATGTTGAACTATAAGTTAGACAGGCGATGATATCATCCCACTCATTTTTAACCTAACCTAACCCCATAGCGGAAACTCAGCTTTTCAAGATTTACTGTGTCTATTTTGAAAATATTTCTGTAGAATATGCTTTTTTTTAATATAAAAAGAGTTAAGAAATATGGAAGTATATTTTTAATTAAAAATACGCAGTCGATTCATTGTTATGTTAAATTTAATAATCTGATTATTGTACGTGACAGGGTTTCTATAATGAAGGTAATGACTCACCTTCTATCATCAAATGAGTCTCTGCTAAAATCCTCATACATTCTGCTGCTCCTCATGCTAAGGCTGCTACTTGGAGGAGGCGACCTTCTACTGAACATCCCATAATCGCTACTGCTTCTTGAAAAACCACTATCTCTCAGGCTGCTACCCAACCCACTAGACGGACCACCTCTTAGCCCAATTGAAGGCATTGGAGGAAGTGGTTCACGACGTGGAGGGAGTGGGGGTGGCATGAAGTCTCGCCCGCTGCCGCCACGCATACCCACATCCCGACTTGGTGGCATACCAGAGTAGCGACGCTCATACAGGTCTCTAGAGTCTTCGAAACGACGATCGTAGTAGCCATCGTAGCTATCCTATATAAAATTGAAAGGTACTTATTTATAAATCGGTTTGGAAATTACAAGTAAGTTACTATTAAGTGTTGATTTGTTAATAAATGTTACTCATATGTAAATATTACTATTATTTTGACTAAATTTACTGTGTGTAAATGTTCTTTTTTATAATTATTTACTGTAATCGTTATTGTTAAAAGAAATATAATTCTTAATATTCCAATTTTCTCTATATTTAGAGTATCTTCATATGTTGTTAATTTAGAGTAGTCTGTAGAAAGGTAGAAAATAAACCAAATTTAAGTACATACAGAATAGTTACCACACCTTGTTAATTTGGAGTAGCCTGTAGCAAAAGGGGGAAAGTAAACAACATTTAAGTATTTAGAAAATGGTATGGATTTTTTTACTTACATAACTAAGTATTCATTGTTTGTAATAAAATGTGATGATAAAACTGTCAATAAGTTAAAATTGAATTATTTGCATGTTAGAAAATGCAGAATATTGACAATTTCATTGCAAATAAAAGTATATAAAGAACAGGTCTTAAGAAACCAGTAATTTAAGGTTTAAAATAGTAAAAAAAAACTGATCATAAAATCGTACCCCAAATCGTCCCATCATTCGGTCGCGCAGGAAAGGTGGCGGAGGTGGGGGTGGGTACGGATCCCGTCCGAACATTCTTTCGCGGAACCTCTCGGGCCCCATGCCCTTGGGGCACTCTTTGGACCAATGGCCGCCGCGGCCGCATCGGTAGCACTGCTCCGGATCGCCCATGCCGGGACGTTGCCGTACGCGCGATGTCGATATTTGCACCTTCATGGGTTGACCGTCCACCATGGTTCCATTCAAGTCTTCAGATTTAGAGGAAAGTAGTGGTATTTGATTTTAGTTTATTTTAATTGTATGTACCGAGATTGTTGAGGTCATAGATAATATAATTTAAAACGATTTATTAAGTTTTATGAAAAAGACTAGTAAACAAACCAGAAAACAAATTTATTTTGAATTTGAATAAGTTACAAAAGTCATAAAAAAATAGATACAAAACGTTTACTGTAAATGGAAAAGTAACTGAATATCAGACTCAGGGTTTCAATGTTAAGTATTTTATTGTCTTTTTCCTAAATTTGAAGATGACTGAAAGGTATATTACATAAATATGGGGCAGTTTTATATAAAAAGAGATGCAAATAAAACTGTCATTTGTAAATTTTGCAAAAAAGAAATTCATATGGTTCAAAGGTAAGCAAAGGTATGAGTTAATAGCCAATTAAAATAATTGGGCGCTAGAAACCACTTTCTTGAAATTTATAGAGATAGAAAAACAACTAACATTATACTATAAAAATAGATTTTTGCTTCCTAAGTTTAAGTAGAATAAGTTTTTAGTACTTTTGGATGTTATGAAAACGACTGAGTGAAATCGTAATTTTAATTTACAAAATCAATTGAAACCCTGCCAGATATACACATTTAAGCTTTTACTTATATCAAATAAAGAATATAGTCAATGAAGAAACCATCTTTCCATAATATTGAAGATATTATGAATGATTAGAGTATTTTATTTTTTGAATTCGGCATTGACAAATAATTAGTCATCCTCATGAGTTTAGAAAAGTAAAACTAAATGGAATAATTTTTGTTTTGCAAAGGTAGCTTAGACATCAACAATCACATAGAACTTTAAGAAAATGAACGAGTAGTTGTTTACTCTTATATATTTTACCTTTTATTGCTTTACCTTTAATAGCATCATTAACGTCTCCCGATGATTCTAAATGGACGAAACCGTAGTTTCTAACAATGTCGCATTCCACAACGGTGCCGAATTTTTTGAATAGTTCGCGTATCTGCGGCGCCTTTGTGTTGTCTGTCAAATTTCCAACGAAGATCTTCGTGGTCGGCGTTTGTGGGGCTTTTCGGCTCTTGGCCGCCTCGCATTTCATCGCTTGACCGTTCAATATTTGCCCGTTAAGGCTCTGGATGGCCTCGCGTCCGTCGGCTTCATTTTCCATATGTACGAAACCGTAATTCTTCACAACATCACACTCAACGACTTTGCCGAATTTTTCGAATAAAGGACGCAGTTCGGCTACGGCCGTCTTTTCGGCCAAGTTTCCGATAAAGATTTTGAATGTGCCCGCGCTGCTAAAACCCGGCATATTTAGGCTTCGGGAATATTTTTCTTTTTCGACTTTATTAACAATCTACGACGCCAACGATTCACTCCGACGACGAACTTCTCGGGTTAATATCCACGCCTGAAACTCTTCAATATTAAAATGTTTTTACGTTCTTACGACCAGGCGATTATCGTCGCCGATAAAATATTTTCGACAATAAAAAATGACACGAGTGGTATACATAAAAAAAATCAACACTCTAGCAGCAGGCTGAAAGAACATTCAGTAAAATTTATGAGCCTGATAAACTTTAACAGAGCTAGAGTATATGATCTGTCTGAATGTTTATCAGGTTCATAAATGTTGATGAACTTTTTTGCAATCAACTAGCTGTAAGTAAGTAAAATAAAAGTTCGGAATACTTAAAACTCGAAAATGAAGTCAATGTCAGTCTGAACATTTAGAATATAAAGATCGAAGTACTATTAAATATTTTACTAGTGTAACTTATATTAATCAAAATTAAGGTAATTTTCACAAATATTGTAAATACTCATCCTTTATAAAACTTTTTGTTTAGGCATACAAAGTAATGGCTCCATATGAACTGCTAGTTTAAAATCACCATTAGAGCATTCATTATAAACAAAACAAAAATTCCAGATATTAAATCATAATGAGAGAGAAATGTATCCCACAAGACCGACATTGGTCACACAAATAATATAAAGCATTTAGTGACCTGTGATCAAACAATATTATGTTGTTTCCGCTAGTAAAAAGTGAATGCACAACAGATGTGAAAATTAACATCCCAAATGACAGATTAAGATAAAATAAATATTACTTAATTCTCAGTTTATATGATTTTGTTTTAAGTTAAATAATTTCAAACTAGATATAAAATAAATAAAAACCAGAAAATCATTTTCATCCGGGAAACTAATCCTTTGCCTAATACGGCAATAGCATTAAATTATATCCAACGAAAAAGGTAGATAAAATTATTTTAAACTCTTAACTTTGATTTTGTTTACTAAGGAGAACATCATTCTCTGATAGACTTTGTCCTTATTAGAAAACATCAGCAATAGTTCTAATGGAACCTGCAGAGGCGTAAAATTCACTCTTATACCTGGATATTGGATGAGTGAAATTAAGTAATCAAAAAGTTAATATAATTAAATTTGGGTTTTGTAGTTAGAACTTGATATTTTTTGTCATTTTTATTTTGTATTTTTATACATTTTTACGTTAGTACTATTTTATTATATTCTATTGTATTTTTTATCTTATTTTATTTAAACAGAAATAAAATATAGACGAACAACTACTACACTAATCCTTTCATTCATAAGTAAATACTTTTTACCACTCCATTGAATGAGATAGATCCCTATGTCGCATCAGAAAGAGCGATACGCCCTAGTAAATTAAGTGGGGACAAATAGCACACATGGTTATGAGTAGAGTAAATTGAAGTAAGATTTCCGCTTACGTTGACATTACTTTTAAAATAATAACGTATTGTAGATTTTAGTGACATTTAATTTTATTTCCCATTTACGCCGCGCCATTTATCAAGTCAAATAAATTATTTCAGATTTTTGAATTGCATGGTACATACACATTAAAAGTATAATATTTGTTTTTGTAATTAAAGTTTTTTCAGTGATGGATGATTTCCTAAGGCCCCCATTCACAAGCATACAAAATGTCCAAATGAAGTGACTGTATTCCAAAATCCTTTAGTGAATGTTGAAAACTGAATGTATAAGCATGGCAGCTTTGCAGTCAGTTGTGAACTACACAACACAAAAACTACATTATTCACGCACCCATTTGAGTGACCGTGACCGAACAGATTCTAAACGTAAAATCCATTTGGATTGCCTTCCAACCAGATTCATTCCATTTGGAGTGATGTGAATGGGGCCTTAAGTAAATAAAGGTGATATTGAAATACATGTAGATATTATAGCACATTATTACTCTCCTAGAAAAAATTCCAATAATTGAATGAGTAATTAAATTTTGAAAATGTATGTTAAATAAGGCATAAGCTACTAAATTTATGAAAACTGTCCCCTAAGGTCATCGACACCAAATACCCTGCTTGCTAACCTGCCAATCTAACAGTAGTCACATTCTCTTGTCATAATTATGTGGTTTTAAGCGGCAAATTCAAATGTATTGGGATTTTTAGAGCCTTTTGATTCATGATTTCAAGAAAATTATTAATGAAATAATCAATTACATTAGTTATAATTAATTATTCTTTGCAAACATTTAAATGATTAGAATTAGAATAAAATTGCGATAATAAATCATATAATGAAGTAAATTATTTTCACTTTTCAAAAAGGTTTGCTTTCTTTGCATTGCTAACCACAAAACAACATACTCCTATATTAGTATTATTAGTAGTATTAACTTATCTTTTAGTGTAGGGAGGAATGCCACAAACACCCAATAATATTTTAAAACTGCACATACAATTTTCACAAAAAATAGACACCTTAACCTCTAACCAGATAAAACTACTCAAATCTCAGATGAGAATAACATGTTCAAGACAGCGTTGTCGCAGCACTAAAAGGTTAGTACTTAATAGAAAGGGAAAAAATGTTATTTCACATTCAAAGCTCTAGACGTCAGGGTGACATTAAGTTAGGTCCATTTTACTTTATTTTCGGGCTGAATAACTTCGATCAGTGGCCTGTTGGGTTTTGTAACTCAAAAGTTTTTTATTATCATTTTATTAAATAATATTCCTGAGCTGTCTTTATTATTATTATTTTTTGTTTCATCGGAATCAACTATTAGGGTTATTAATCTCGTGAGCTGTATAGTGTTTTGTTATTGTTTCTCAGTGCCACTTTAAGAACAGCACTGTTAATTAGAACCTAACAGTGAGTAGTCGAGTGGTGAATCCTGCCTATGGATTAGGATTAATTTTTAATTAAATTAAATAAAAATCCCGGCCCCAGCGGGATTCAAACCCAGGATCCTTGGATCTGAAAGTCCGGACTCTAATCAATTCGCCACCCAATCCCTTATTATTATTAATGCCAATGGACATGTCCCGTTATTGATGATCTCTATTACACATGCACAAATTCTACTTACGCTTAAAATCATCAAAACTTACTCTGGTTATGTTTTCTACCCTGAGTTCCAATAAGGAGTAATATTTTAATAATCACAGTCGCCAGTATCAATAAAAAATTCTGTTCAGACTTGACATAGTCAATATTTATTATTTATGTTTTAAGTATTCAAGACCATTATTTTTATTTTCTTTAACAATGTACTAAAATACGTGTTTTTCTTTTATTACAAATTTCACAATCTTGGGTATGTTAAAAAATTTAAATTAAAATATATTTAATATTACGTTGGTAATGAATCAGAAACGTCCCTTACATCTAGGATCTCTTATCTGCTACAATGCTGTGTGAGGTTGGTTTAACAATAAAGCATAAATTAGGTAAATTGGCCTAGTTTAAGTTTTAGAATATAAATTGGTGTCATTCAATGATATTCTTTATAAATTATCTCAACTAGTACAAAATGTGGATGGTTTCCATTTTAAATAGTGCTATACACACTGCAGCTGCCACTTAACAAATGGTTAAATTTAAATACTTAAAACAAATATAATGTTATGTAATGTTTGTTCCCACAACACTGCGATCAGAATCAGGCCACAAACTAAATATTTCTTACAGTTTGGAAACATGTTGTATGTGTTTTCTTAGATTAAAATTTATTTTCTGCCATTAAGTGCCAAAAATTAGTCCTGACAAAAACTTAAAAGAAAACTATTAATATATGCAACAAATTATACAGATCAATCTTAAACATGTTGGAAACACATTATGCCCGCGATTTATGGTTTGCTGACTATTAGAAACTAATTAAGACAAATAATTTTTTTTAACTTCAAAATATTAAAAAGTTCGTTTTTTTGATCAGAACCATGGACATGAAATTTGCGATGAATTTGTGGCGAAATTATAAATGTTAGACATATGTGCCCATGAGAGAAGTTGCGTATTTTTTGTTGGCTCTCAAATAAAATAAGTCCCGCGGCGAAATCTGACATAATTTTTCGGGAATTCGCAGGAAACCAGAGGCGTAGTTTTTTTTAATTTTTTTCCCATATGATTTTTTCCGGGTTTTCCGAAAATATCTAACAAAAAAAATATATTTGAAAAAACTAACTTGGCCATCGAAAAGAGCACAAAAAAATACACAAAGGTATACTTTAAAAATGTTAGGAAATTAATCCTAAGCCTGAGTGTAAGTTCCAACTTGGTGATAAGCTTGCTTTTTGTTCGCTAATATCTGGTAATTATATATTTTGCACAAAACTCAAGAAACGTCTTATAACAAGTCAGTAAAATACAATTTAATAAATTTTATGCCTAATAAGTTTAGATATGTAAGAAATTTAAAACTGGAAAACGCAAAAAAATCAAATTACAGTAATGTAGTGTATACACGAGTTTTGGTTCCGCGGAGCGCGTGTAATGGGACTTTTGTCGGGAGAATTCTACAACTTAGAAGAAACATACACACTTTAAACTTTGTATACACATTTAGAAGACATGAAATTTGGGTTTGTTTAATTTTCAGACAAAAAAACTAAAAATTGTCATTTTTAGGCAACTTTTCTCAAAAACCGTGTTTATTTGGTCGTCACTCAATGAACAGTGGTCAAAAAATTAGATAAAATATATTTGCAGAATTTTCCGTAATGTAATCGTATTCTAGACACAATAGAGTACTCAAAAAAAAAAGTTTTGAGCCATTGGGTGCATTTTTGGCATTTTTGTGCCACTTCAAACTATCGAAAAAAAAAAAAAAAATTTAATTGTTTGATATCTTAGCCAATTATGGTCCGATGTCGGTGAAATTCACACACACATAAGATTTCACATTTAAGAGTAAGCTTTGTAAGTGGCATTAAAAAAATTCAAATAGTTTGGCCGTTATAGGCAAACAATGAAATTAGGACCGCGGTGCATTTTGCC